GTGACTCCATTTTTCACAGAGCAGAATTATGCTCCATAGGGGATTTAAGTGCTATAGATGCATGTGGAAATTGAATATTGAATAAAGAAGATCGAAGAAGAACTGGGACATTTGAACTGTGGCAGAAGAGAAGAATAATGAAAGTACCATGGACTGCGAAAGGACCAACCAATCTGACTTGGAAGAAGTCTGGCCTTCAGAGGCAAGAATTCATCTTACATCCTTTGGATATGTTGTCAGGAGAGATTGCTCCTTGGTGAAGGATGTCATGTTTGGTGAAGCAGAAGGACAGTGAAAAAAAAAGGAAGGCCCTCACTGAAATGGCTTAACCCCACGGCTGCAACAACAGGGTCAAGCAAGGGAACAATTGTGAGGCAGGCACAACACGGGGCAGTGCTCCATTCTGTTGTGCACAGGGGTGCAGCTACGGGTTAGACCCTACTCAATCTAAACCAGAAGGGAGACACTTAACGACCAATGGTTCTACAGTCTTGGTGATTCCAGTGGAAATAGGGATGGCAGCATCACAACAACACCCCTCTCAGTGGCGATCAGGGAAGTGGGATGGCGATGAGACCAAACACTAAACCATTCCCATTGGGTTCAGTGATTTCCCCCAGGATGACCAAGACTGTGCTCCCCACAGAGCAGACTGCCACAGGTCCCTCCCACTGACAGGGGTGGTGGGGCCACCCAAACCGCTCATCTTCCAGTTAGCAGCTGAGTGCTAGGGCACTTTGCCGTCAGGTATCTTGGTGAGCAAGAGGGTAGAATATTACTTTGTTTTGTCCAAAGTAAAATTTTATGGAATTACAAATTTCATGAAAATCATCCCTTGGCTGTGAGTTAGATCTGTTCTTGTGTCTTAAAGTCGGATTTGTAGGCGAGTCGAGCAGATGCATATGGTTCTTATTTAGCCAGGTTTATGGGCAACAAAAGAGCTCTGCCAATACTGCAGGTTAGCTGTTGGGCAGCTCAATGCAAATTTGGCAATTCATACCCATGAACTGGCTATCGTTATTTGGTAAAGGGGCCCTGGTAGCACAATGGTCAATCCCAGCTGCTAAGCAAAAGGTTCCTAGTTTAGACCCACACAGCACTTCCATGGGAGAAAGTCTAATGATCTGCTGATATATGTTGATAGGTGCCATCGAGTTGGCTCTCACCCATGGCGACCCTACGCAAAACAGGATGAAACACCGCGAGGTCCTGCAGCATCCTCACAGGTGTTGCTATGCCTGAGCCCATTGATGCTGCCCAATGTGCCAATCCTTCTCATCCAGGCCCTTGCTCTTTTTCGCCATCCCTCCACTTCACCAAATAGGACATCCTTCTCCATGGTCTGGAGACCTTCTCCAGGTCTTCTCCTGACAATACTGTTCTATGGAGTAATCCAAACACAAAATCACTGCCACCGAGTTGATTCCAATATATAGTGACCTGATAGCAGATCCTACTGGACAGAGTACCTTTATGGGTTTCTGAGGCATTAAAGTCTACTTGAACAGAAAGCCTCATCTTTCTGCTGTGCGGAGGAACTGGTAGGTTTGAACTTCTAACCTCACCTTTAGTAGTCTACTATGCCATCAGGGTTCCTTGCTAAAAAACCTATAGCCTAGATTTGTAGGGTGTACAGCTCACGATGACTAGCTGTATGTAAGTAGACCACTAGCCTTTGCTCCTTTACCATCAATGCCAACCTGGAGGTCAGGGGCAAGTATAAACTGTTTGTACCTCCAGAGGTCTAGCACCTAGTAGGTACTGAGAAATCATACACTACATAAATAAAAGAGATAACGATTACATTTTATGTCCTACATACATTGTAGGCATGCATTGCCTCACTGAGCTATGGCTGCAGTTTTTCAATATGTACCTTATGCATGCACAGTTACAATATGACTCAGCCATTTACTAGCTGTGATACTGGGCATGCTATAATTTCTCTAAGCTTTAACAAAATGGATAGCATAAAGCATTTCAGTGAGTTGTCGTGAAGTACCAGGTATGCTGCCTGGCCCACACCCAAGATGCAATAAATTTTTGTCTTACTATTGTAATTATTAAATGAGTTTCTTCTCTTGAAAACAGCTCACCAATTCTTGAAGCACCTCATAATTAGTGAAACTGGAACTTTAAAGGATGAGGTTCCACTGCATTGAATCTCCTGATAAACACTACTCTCTGTGGGCTTTTCTTTCAGGGAGCATTAGGTCCTTCTCTTGTGTGACCCTAGGGCCCTACACGTGGCTCTTGATTGGAACTGCCACACTGTGTTTAAGTTAGTTGATTATGTTCAATGCTCACTGCTACATGGTATGAGGTTTTACGGTATGACATCTCCATAATCTACCATCCACTAGAACTCTGGGGATGCTGCCCAATAGATGCGTTCGCATAAAGAAACGTGACTGATGCTATTACCTATAGTCACATAATGTGTGCACTCTCCTTACTGTTTCTAAATTACATTCTCAATAGGTGTTCTTAACCCAGAGAGGCAAGCAGGGCAGAAGGCTTTCATATTGTAGATGCAGAGTGGAACGTGCGCACTGGGATTCAGCGATATTCTGTGAGTGACAGTGCTAAGACTGAAACAAAACCACTTTTTATATTCTTCTAATAGTTACTCTATTTCAATAGCAATGATCTGATTTATCGGCATCTTATTTTATGAATATGTGCCTGCCCAGGGAAAATTCTAATGAAATTAGAGTTAAAAAACAATAGTTATCAGACCTGAAGACTAGGAAAGAGGCACACAGCTCACGGTGTGACTGTAAGAATCAAAAACATCTATAGTGTTAAAAATTCTGCATATACTAACACCCAAGTTCAACGAATTAATTTTCAAAGTCATCCAAATACAAAGTCTTTAGTAATTCTCAAACATGTATCCTTATGATAATATTTTGGATGCTTTATGCACACTAGAATATTCAGTAATTTTTAGTATGGGGAAAAGAAAGAAGCTTGAGACTGACAGATATTATTGTTGAATTAACCAGTAAGTGAGTAAACAGGATAAAACTCTCAGAAAGGGAAAAACTTGGAAGCAAGCTGCTCTTAAGTCCTTAAACCTAGCACATGCTCTGAGCCTGTCCACAGTCATACTTTTTATTAAGAAAGTACTTACATTAGGCCTCAGCTTGGCTGCCAAGTCATAATACTTCTCAGCTGCTTCATTGAGGCTAGCTTGTCTGTTAAAGAATAAAAATAGAAAGATATAAATATCATTTAATTGAAAGTTTCAGATAAACCAGAAAACCAAACCGAATGTCATAGCATCACTTCCCACCAATATCTTATAGGTGGTGTGGAACTGGCCCCAAACTGCCACACCTTAATGGAAGTGCACTGCCATCTGCTTCTCCCAGGAGCAACTGATGGCTTCGAATCATTGACCTTTTTGGTTAAGAACAGAGCAATTTAACCAGTGCACCACTGGGGTGCCTTAACATTGCTGACAGGAGAACAGAATCACTGTGAAGCAAAATAATATTTATAAAAAATACAATTATAGAAGTCAAACTCTGTTTTCCAAGGGAAACTATCATTAAAAATTAAACATTGTAATTGTGTTTGAAGCATCTCAGATAGCATCTCAGCATAAACGTATTTACTATTATTATATAAATACATCTATGTGAAACATTACCGAACTTTTCCAAGTGTGTAGTTGCTCGGTGCGGCCACGCTAGCTCTGAACACAGGGATGCTATGGACACGAATGCAACACTGGCCTGTCGTGGAATTCCTACAAGGTTCATTATGTTTGAGTCTGCATTTGCAGCCACTTTTGTCACTGCGTCTCAGGGTCCTCGCCTGACCATCTAGTTGGCTCAATAGGATGTTCTCTTCCAGGTATTGGACCCTCCAGATAACGTGTATCGATGCCTCGAGATGAAGTAACATCATCCTCAATTCTAAGGAACATTTTGATTGTACTTATTTTATGCAAATGCATTCATTTGCTGTCAGTTCATATTTTATTCAGGTTTTTGGTTTTGCTTTGTTTTTCAGTACTGTAATTCAAATACATCAGCCCTTCTCGGTCGGTCTTAACACAGTGTAGACATGCAGGTGAAGTGGCTGAGAAAACCCTGGCTTCACTGAGGTGGATACCTTGGGCTTCAAATGGACATCTTTGTTTTTAAACACCTCAAAAAGGTCTTTTGCAGACGTGCCCAATGCAGTATGTGTTTGCTTTCTGGACTGCTGCTTCCATGGGTACTGATGGTGGATCCCAGTACAGCGGAATCTCTGTCAACTTCAGTCTTTCAAAGTTGAAATTCCAATCAAACTGAAATAGTGTGCTAGAGGGTTGGGAATCTCCAGCTGGAACATGATTTCCACTCCCCACCCTCATCACCCCCCCCTCCCACAAAAAAAGTCTTATTATAGATTTTCAAAATGACTAATTGATTTTATTTCATGGAAACAGTGATCAGCGGCAGGTTAAAAGAGTTATGTATCTATCCAGAAAGCTACACTCCTTCCGATTTGCAGTAGAGGACTTCATATTTTATGCAGCTTACAGAGATAAAAAAGGCATGTCCATCTTCCTTGCTCTCTGAGCAGCAAAGGAGCCCTAAGATCTGGGCACAGCTAACTGCACACGCTCCACTGGCTCTTTGATTCTTGAATGAGTGACACAAGGGTGAAGGGGTGTCTCAGGGGAAGCAACGGGGTTTTGTCATGGCCCTATTACTGTAAAGAACTGCTGCTGTGGCATGTCCGACGTCTGGATCTCTGTTGAGGATCTTTTGTTATTTTCTTCTCCAAATGATTCAATCTGGAACAAACCCCACAGACCCAGCTCTCGAGCCTGCAGTGAAGAATTCGGTGATCTCACAACAGTTTCAAACAGCCAGCAGTTCCTCTTTCTTTTTCTTTTAAAACTTTCTATGGTGATTTGAGTGGAGGTTTACAATGAAAATTGAATTTTTATTAACGAATTAATACACATTTTTAGTGAATTTGATTGAAATCCCCACAATGTATCATTAATCTTTCCCCTTCTGCCCTGTATTTACCATTTCCATTTTTCTTTCTTTCCTCCTATCCATTCTTGCCTTCTGTGCTTTATACCCTGGTGTCATAATTCAATTTACAGGCTGGCTGGTTTGTCTATTGTTCAGTTGAGGGAATTGGGTCATGGGGATGATAAGTTCAATTCCAACCTAATGAAAGTGTAAGGGCCATAGTCTAAAGGGTTCTACTAATCTGTTATTAGACCAATACACCTGGGACTTAAAAATTACATATTTGTAGTTTTGTTCTATATTTTCTATTAGTCTATCCAGGACCTTAAGGGGCCCTAGTATGACACAGTGAGTTTCACATTGATCTGTGGGAAACAAGGGCAGCAGTTCAAATCTATCAGCCACTCTGTTGGAGAAAGATGAGGCTGTCTGCTTTCTGCAAGGATTTTCAAGTCTAAGAACCTAAAGGGCCAGTTCTACCCTGTCCAATAGGGTCACTATGAGTCAGAGTCAACTTGACAGCACTAGGTTCCGGTGACCAGCACCTTAGATTGTAAACCCTTTCAGAGCGATGCCAGGCACTATCTATTTCTTCTGGTCTCAGTGTGATGAAGGTTGAGGTCATGTCCTTGGGATTAATTTTCTTTACTCTTCTTGGCTCCAGATGGGGAAAGACAGACAGTTGTACTTTATATGGTCACTCACTATGTTTAAGACTCTATTGTTCCTCTCCACAAAAGGGTGGAGAACACTGTCTTGTGGACTAGGTTACACAGATTGATCTGGGGGTCTCCTGCCACTCTCTGAGTCTATTTCTATTGCTTACATTCAAACAGCAGAGTGGCACAGTCATGCAAATAACATGCGCATGAATGCCAAAGATAAGATTGTGAATCACCTATTCTTGTACTTAACAGCAAAGGCTCAGATCCTGCCAAATGCTTAGCAGAAGAAATCAAATGTCATGTTTCTAAAGAAATTCAGCACATTAGCCTCTAAAAATTTAAAAGGGTTACTAATGAGGCCACACTGTCTAAAATCCCTTTCAACATAGTAGATAAGTGACTTCAGGAACTCTTAGAAGGTGAACTGAAACATTTGAGGAACAAAAAAGGAGAAAGGACAAATACCAAATTCAAATACAAGTGGTGCATAAAAGCCCAGGTAAATGTGTACAATTGTAGTAAATGGCTTGGGGTTCTCCAGTGAAAATAGAATCTCCTCTTGTGATACTGGGAAGCTTTCAAGACATGAAGATCACAGAGAAGTGAAGAATACAGAGGAGATAACAAAATTTAATTGCCTCATATTTAGGTTTAAAAAGTGAAAGTTTACCAGACCTATAAAATGGAATTTGTACTTTGTTCAAGCTAAATAAAAACTATTCAACCATATCCCATTCAACCACATGAATGAAAAGAATAAGCAAAGGTAATATCTCTTTGGCGAATGAGATATATTTTTCCAAAAATTTAAAGGGAAAATAATTAGAAGCATTTCTATTTTCAATGCGATTATAGAGAAAGTAAAAACCCTTGACCTAAGGCTCCACTGGCCCCATGACATGTTATAATGTGCTATTGGAATTTATATTCTCATAAATGTTGAAGTTCAATTTCAATGTCAAGGAAAGTACTTTAGTCTGGTATGGAACAATAAAATTTCCCTCACTAGGGCATTTAAGAAGGTTCCTTCCACCAAATTACAGAATCACTTTGGTCTAGTTTCATTTGGAAATTTGAACCAGAAATCATTAGGTCATGCCCTGGAAGAATTTTCCCCAGAGGAAAATAAAAGGCATGGAGGTAGGAAATCAGGGTAACTTAAACACTACAAAAAAGGTAACTTACTTTGAAGCAAGACCAACCAATAGACGTCTAACATGGAAAGCAGAGGAAGTATCATTAATATTCATTTTTATAGATGTTCAAGTGTATAGATCAATAAGTTTCAAAGAAGAAGCTGAGGAATCCACTAAATGAAATGTTTCAGAACTGACTATCAAAAAGTAAAAATGTCTCCTCTCAGCCCCCCCAAAACAAACAACCACAGTTATTAGTTTGTTTTATATTTTAAATCTTCATACTCTAGTGATTGAATCTCCAAAGAATATATCTACTTTAGAGTCTTAGTTTCCCAAGGTAAAGGTAGAACAGATAATATTCAAATAAAATTAAAAAGCAGAAGCAAATATATATACATATATGTAACTTAACTGTGAAAGTTAATTTCTACTCTAGGGATTTGCTTCTATTACTAACTAAATGTATTCTATCATTCAATAGTATTTCCCCTAAAGTAAGAAAGAATATGCCAGTTCTACAACTGAATATTTATTTATATTCTTATTTTATTCTTAGACTAGATTATAAACTCAAACAACTGACCAATGTCTATTTGATGTTATGTGGTATGTTATTATGGGCTATACATACACTCTTCTCTTTACAAAGCACCCTGGCAGTGCTTAGTAAATTTTAATTGCATGGATGACTGACATTAGTCATCATTTGAAAAATGAGGACACTAAAAGCATTCTGCCAGTTTCTTAGAGGATGACGGATTCTACTAACTATTGTTAATAGCCTCAGCCACAAGATGGTTAGGAATTGATTGTGGGACTAAGTTTACCAGACTATTCTGATCTGTTTAAAGATACTGATACCATCGACCTCTCCTGCATGCCCATATCTAATCTTCCTGTCTTATTTTACTGGGTTATGTAACAGAATATTTCTAAAACCTCTATGTGTTACCTATAGGATATAAGAATTAATTATCTCATTGATTAGTTACTGAGGCATGAAAAAGTTGCTGATAAAAAACCACTATATTTTAAGGAAGAATAGCCCTGGTGGTGCAGTAGTTACATGCTCATGGAGGCGACTGAGTTGGAATCGATTTAATGGCAGTGAGTTTGGCTTTGGGTTTGATTTAGAGGAATTGAGTAATTCCCCCAAGGTTACAAGAATACAGCTGGTAAGTGACTGAATTGGAAATCAAGAAATCAAAACTCAAAACCTAAACTACAGGTTTATGTTGACATCTCTGTATATATGAAAAGAGAGAAAATTATTTATAGTCTATTATTTTGGGGCAGATTAGTTCAGATGCAAATGATGTTTTATTTCCTTTGCTGTAACCACCCCAGCCCACCTCTACACACCATGTGAACAAGCTACATCAACTGCTAGGAAAGGAAGAAGCCATATTCA